CTCTCTCTCTCTCTCTCTCTCTCTCTCTCTCTCTCTCTCTCTCTCTCCCCCTGTAACTCTCTCTAAAAAAAAAAAGAAAAAGAAAAAGAAGTAGTTGGACACAATACCTTTATTTATTTATTTATTTTTATGTGGTGCTGGGGATCGAACCCAGGGCCTTGCACTTGCTAGACAAGCACTCTACCGCTAAACCACAATCCCAGCCCATAGGATGAGTTTTTCTATGGTTAATTTGATAGTGATCACAATAAATCTATAGATTGGTTTGTATAGTATTGGCATCTTAACAGTATTAAGTCTTCTAATCAGTGAATATGTGTATCTTTCCCATTTGTTTGTGTCTTCTTTACTTTCCTTCAAAATCTTAATGGTTTTCAACATACAATATAAGTCTTTTGCTTCCTTGGTTAAATTTATTCCTAAGGTTTTTTTTTGTTTGTTTGTTTGTTTGTTTTAGTTGTAGTTGGACACGATACTTTATTTTTATTTATTATGTGGTGTTGAGGATCGAACCCAGCATCTTGCACATGTTAGGCAAGCGCTGTACCACTGAGCTACAACCCTAGTCCCATAAGTATTTTATTCTTTGATGATATTTACTGCTTTTTAAATTTCCTTTTCTCATTATTTATTGCTTATAAACAGAAATACTGCTGATTTGATTTCAATTTTTTGTGTATTCCTTAGGATTTTTTTTACAAATAATATTATGTCATCTGAAAACAGAGATAACTATATTTCATCTTTTGCAATTGGGATGTCTTTTTTTTTTTTTCTCTTCCTTTTCTTACCAAAGTGCTCTGGATAGAACTTCCATTACTATGTTAAATGAAAGTGATGAAAAAGCATTCTAGCATATTCCTTATCCAATGGATAAAGCTTTTAGTCTTTTACAACTGAGTATCATTTTAGCTGTAGGTTTTTGATATATGCCTTTATCATATTGAAAACATTCCCTTTTACTCCTACTTTACTGAATTGTTTTTTTCACGAAAGGATGTTGGATTTTGTCAAATGTATTTCTGCATCAATTGAGATTATCATGTGTCTTTTCATCTTTTATGAATATGTTACATTTATTTTTATATGTTGAATGAACCAAGAACTAATCCCACTTGGTCACAATGTATAATTATTTTAATGTGCTGCTGAATTTGGTTTGCTCTTATTTTGTTAAAGATTTTTGCATCAATTAGCATAAGAGAAAAAGTTTTAAAAATTTCTATAGTGGGCTGGGGATGTGGCTCAAGCGGTAGCGCACTCGCCTGGCATGCGTGCGTCCCGGGTTCGATCCTCAGCACCACATACCAACAAAGATGTTGTGTCCGCCGAGAACTAGAAAATAAATAATAAAAATTAAAAAAAAAAAAAAAATTCTATAGTTTTCTTACAAATGTAGTCTGACAGGGTGATGTTGGTCTCATTACATAAATTAGGAGTGTTTCAAGAAGATTGGTGTTAAATCTAGTCTTTTCTTTTTCTTTTTGTGGTGCTTGGATTAACCCCTGGGCCTTGCATGTGCTAGACAAATGCTCTGCCACTGAGCTATGCCCCCATCCCCCTAATTCTTATTTAAATGTTTGGTACAATTCACAAATGAAGCCATCAGGTCCTGGGCTTTTGCAAGTATACGTGACAAAATAGTCAGAGTTATTCCAGGTGAATTGGGCTGGCACTAAATAACAACGCAAACGCAGAAAGTACCTTTTTCTTGGGGTTCATTGACAGCTCCTCTGCCCCATCTCTCACAGAGGAGGCAAGAGAGGCAGGCAGAAGATAGAGAGCAAGCCTGAAACCATCCTATTTTGGGGGGAAAAAGACATTCAAGAAAGTTCAACCCAAATAAGGCAAGGAATTGGGTTTCAGGGGGTTGCTTGGTGATGTCCTGCGGTCAGCAAATTTACTGACATCTTGGAAGGCCACACCCATCTCAGGTGCTGTGTAGGATCATAAGCAGAGCAAGGGAAAAGGACACATATGTCTCACGGCCCAGTCAGAGCAGCAACATCAGTCTAGTCCCCTCATGTACTCAAATGCCCATAGCTCACACACACTGCCCAAGGCTGTCTCATAACAGGCTTTTATTTGTTGGAATGTTATAAATTATTGATTCAATCTCCTTATTATTTATATGTCTTAATCAGGTTTTCTGTTTCTTCTTGATTTAGTTAGGTACCTTGTGTTGTGTATTTCTGGGAATTTGACCATTTCATTTGAGTTACCTAGTTTGTTACAGTATCCCCTTTTAATTCTTTTTATTTCTATAAATATAAAATCAGTAATAGTGTTCCTACTTTTAGTAATCTTAATAATTAGTAATAATTATTTTAGTGATCTTGGTGTTCTCTATTTTTTTCTTCATAGTCAGTCTAGCTAAAGGTTGTTAATTTTGTAGATATTCTCTAAGATCCAACTGTTGGTTTCATTGACTTTTCTCTATTCGTTTTCTGTTTTAATTGTTTCCTTTTGGTGCTGGGGATTTATTCCAGGGCCTTGTGCTTTCAAAGCATACACTGTACCACTGAGCTACATCCCCAGCCCTATTTCTTCTTTTTTTAATGTATGTACTTTCAGTTATAACATCCCTTTTAGCACTGCTTTCATTGTATCCCATAAGTTTTAATATGTTGTGTTTGTGTTTTCATTCATCACAAGGTATTTTCTAATTCCACTTACAGTTTGTTCCCATTATTTAAGATTGTGTCATATATGTATTTTCCTTGTTACTGGAAGATACTCATTATGCTTTATATTTTATTCCTTCAGCGGGTATTTCTGTGGGACTTGGATGAAACCATCATCATCTTTCACTCCCTTCTTACTGGATCCTATGCCCAGAAGTATGGAAAGGTAATTTGGGTAGTCTTTTGTTATAACTATCCCTCCTCTGGCTATATGAGCAGAAATTTTTTTTCTGCTACCTCATCTTACCTGTTGGCTTTTAACTTCTCATGTAAAATTTCACCAGATGGCTTGTACCAGGCAAGCTATATGATCAAGTGGAATTGATGATAAAGCCAGATACTAGTCCTAGGACCAGTGTTGAAAGCTGAAGTTGTTTGAGTTGAAGTTGCATTTTATAAAGTATAGGAATGAGGCTCAAAACAGAGTATTCTCGGGATTCTGTTTGCAGAGACATGATTTGTTTAACCTTCAGCTACATGGTTGTTTTATTTTTTTGAGTTCTGGGAATTGAACACAAGTATATCTACCACTGAGCTACATCTCAAGCCCTTTTAATTTTATATTTTGAGACAGAGGCTTGCTAGTTTGTCCAAGCTAGTTTTGCACTTGCAGTTCTTCTGCTTTAGCCTCCCAAGTTGTTAGAATTACAGGCATGTATCACCACACCCAGCACCTTAAGTCACTTTTAATAACCCAAACCAAGCATTTCATTTAGCCAAACAAAAGTTAGACATAAAGCATATAGATAAAATATCTTTCTTAAAATACATGCATGCTTTTTTAAAAAAACAAATATACCTAACAAAACTTAATTTGTTTAATCTTTAATTTTGGCAGAATAATGAGCTGTTTTGAGAAGATTAGGACTGTATTTCTATGCCAAATTATCTCCAGAATCATATTTTTCAATTTTGGGTTAAGAATTTTATAAAAATATCTACCTCCCTTGCTATCTCACACTTCCCAATTGTTTTATCTCATCACTTGCTCTTTTTTCTAGGAGTGCTTCCACAGGCTCTTACTATCTAGGCTGGCCAGCTGATATAAACTCATAAGTTATGTTACTAAGATGACTTTAAAAATATAGACTCTCAGTAAAGGACTGATAATTCATCTCAAAGCAGCTTGCCTTGATTTTCCTGTAAATATTTTGACTCTTTTACCTTTCTTTACTTTCTGGTTGTTGAAATTGTCAGACGTCTGATGTTATATTGCATGTGTGGCAGGCGGCTTTTGACAGGGAGATATTGCATCTCATATTAGCAATAGTTAGGAGTTCCTCTGGAACAGAGAATTTCCCAAAAAATTTAAGTGGAGGAAAAAACACCAAAGGGAATGATAAAAATACAATTTTAACTGCAAAGCAGTGAGTTAATTTCTTAAATATATTCTCTGTATAAAATATATTCCTTTTACTTTTATGAAAATATTAGTTTCCACAAACTAAAGTTTTGACATTTCTAATATCCTCTCTATTGAACAATCCACATTCTTAGATGTCAGTGAAATATTATCAATAATACTTGAAGAACTGTTATAGACCTGTGTTGTTTTGGCCTTGACCCAAAATAATTTTGAAATATTTGAAAATGAACCAGTACTGTGAGTACCAAGTCAAGTATCTTTTTTCTCTTACTGTCTTACAGGACCCAACAGTAGTGATTGGCTCAGGTTTAACAATGGAAGAAATGATTTTTGAAGTGGCTGATACACATCTGTTTTTCAATGACTTAGAAGTAAGTATGTAAAAATTTTTTTCTGTGCTTCAGTGAGATGTTTGGTTCAATAACTTTAAGACCCTATGCCTGTTGAATGTGGAAGATAAATGTTTAGACAGAGTAAGATGGAGAGGCTAGGTAATACAGAGTCAGGCTGGAATGGCAAGCAGCCACACACATATGTAGTCTTAGAGGAATATCATGGTTGAAGTTCTACAGTCTTGATTCTTTCCTCAGACCCTCAGTTTTATTGGCTCAGATTTTTCATTTTTGTCTGCATATTTGGAAGTGATATAGTATTAAGGGAAACGCCAACTTATCGGGGAAAATCCTGAAATGTAAACGAATATTCCAGTTTATTAATAAGTATTAAATAATATATATAATGGGCTTAATTAATACTCTCAATTATATTTTGACCATTTTTCAATTATACCTTCTTAAATGATAATCCTTTAATTTGTCCAATCTGTAAATGATTGCTCTAACTCATTGTATTTTTTTTACACATTTATTATTCATATATAAGTTAAGCTTGATATACAGAATCATTTTATAGCTAGGTACCAGGAAAATCAGGAAACACTGAGAGCTTCATGGTAAAGTTTTTTTGGCTTTGATATTGAAGTTACCTTTGAGGTAAAAATAATATCGTAGAAGGATCACAGACCTGGAGTCTAAAGACCAGAATGTGAGTTTCAAGTTGGGAAACTTATATTCCCATCCGGGGCCACAGTTAAGCAGTTATCCTATAGAAGAAACTAATAGTTATCTGTCTAAGGTAAAGGGTTAGTGAGAAACAGAAGGGACCAGACTTTTCATTTTGTGTGTTTGAATTCTGAAATGTATACAATATGTATTACCTAGTTTTTAAAAAGTAGTCAAGATTTTGTAGTAAAATAAAATGACATTTCACAAACACAAAGTAATCCTACTTCTATTTAAATACAATCTAGTTCTATTCAACAGCCATTTCTCAAGCAAATTAAATTTAAAAATGACTCTAAGCCACGCATAGTGGTAGACACCTGTAATCCCAGCAGTTTGGGAGGCTGAAGCAGGAGGATTGCAAGCTCAAAGTCAGCCTCAGCAAAAGTGAGAATCTCTAAATTAAAAAAAATAGGGCTGGGGATGTGGCTCAGTGGTTGAGGGCCCTTGAGTTCCATCCCCGGTACCCCAGCATCCCAAATTAATATGGCTCTAAACTCTACTGCTTTTATCTGAATTCCATAATGCTTTAATTTTTCCTCAACTTCATATGTTGATAAATTAGGACAGCATAGTTTTTATTCAGCAAACACTTATTGAAAACCTACTATGTAACAATAATTATTGCCAAATTGTATTTGTAATGATTTTCTAGACATAGTCCTCACTCAGGACTGAAAGTTCTGTGAAGAATTTGACCTGAATGTGTTCCTGCCCCCCCAGGTCAGTGATTCTCAACTTTAGGGGGCATAAGAATCACCTGGGGAGCTTCTTAAAAATGGAGATTCTAAGACTTCGCTCCCAGAAATTCTGATTCAAGTAGGTCTGGGATGGACTCAAGAATATGCATTTTTAAAAACTTCCCCAGAGGATTCTAACGTAGGTACCCTAGAGGCGTCAGGAGTACAACCAACAAAGTTAGGCAATGGGTGCTGTTTTATGTCAGTAGTAGCATACACTTGGTAGAAAGAGCCTTGGATTAAGAAGCAAAAGACCTAGGTTTTTTCCTTGTTTTTTTCTGCCACTCACTAGTTGTATGATCCTAAGAAGATCATTTTACTTCCCTTTTAGAATATGAGATTGGCTTAGGTGACCTCTTCTTAAACTTACATTTGAATTTGTAAATTTCAGTTTCATTCATTCTCACTTTTGGTACACATTCCACCAGCATCCGTTTCATCTACAAAAATTAATTGCTTATATGCTATATAAGGTCACTAAACAAGACTAGTAGAATGCAAAGGGTATTTAAGATGTAAGTCCTTCCCCAAACATCCTGCTTTAACAGGATTTATAGTCTAGTGTAGGGCATAAGCACACCTGATATTATAAGAGCTCATGCTTATCCTCATGAACTATTGAGATAAGAGCAGAAATTAAAGAAGGGTTAGTTAAGGAAGATGTCATGAAGACTGTGGGATGTAAATCAGGCTGTAAAGGAAGTTGTACAGCAAAAGGGGTGGTAAATGTGAGTGATCCTTCGAGACCAGAGGTATTTCATTATCCTGCTATTGTAAATAGTCACTTTATAATGTCATGATGGTGATAGCACTTCTGCCCCTACCCTCTAACTAAAATAGTGTTTTGTCTTTTAACAGGAATGTGACCAGGTGCATGTGGAAGATGTGGCTTCTGATGACAATGGCCAAGACTTGAGGTGATAAACAGTGATGTTTTGAACATCAGTACACCTATTATGTACAAGATACTGTCTGGGTTCAGAGGAAAAGAAAGATGAAAAAGTTCACAATCTATTAGAGGAGGCAGAAACAAGCATAGTTAACTATGACCTGCAGTTTGAGAGTGTGACAATAGAAAATGTGATGGAGAACAGAGAAGTAATTCTGATGGGTAATAGCAGGACTGGAACTGTGGCTCAGTGGTAGAGTACTCACCTGACACATGTGAGGCTCTGGGTTCGATCCTCAGCACCACATAAAAATAAATAAATAAAGGTATATGTCCACCTACAAACCCCTTCCCAAAAAAATGGGGGTAGCAGTGATGGAATGAGGAAACAGCATTGAAGAGATCTCTCTGCACAGATTTTCAGTCAGAAGAAAGTGTGCTTCCAGACTGTGTAGTTTTAGATGCAAATAAACATCAAAAATTTTTAATTTCTTCAAGGAAACTAATTGTAGGAGCCTGATGGTGTCAGGAATAACCTTATGGAAAGACATTTTTAGCCATTATACTACAGCAAAAACTAAACCAAGGAAGTCTCAGTGGCAAAATGCATGCTTAGTCTCCTCATTTCTCTCTCTGGATTACTGTTTTCTGGCCTAATAGTCCTAGCTAAGAATTATCCAAAAATTTATCTCTTATATTTAAAGACTAGAAAAAAGACTATTGCATCTTTTTGTATTAATTTATCTTAATGTTTTATTCCTTGGGGCTGGGCTGTGGCTCAATGGTAGAGCGTTCATCTAGCTCGTGTGAGGCACTGGGGTTGGTCCTCAATACCACATAAAAAAAAATGAATAAAATAAAGGTTAAAAAAAAGTTGTATCCCTCTTAAAGTATTCTTTCCTGTGACTACCCTAAAATTAAGTATCCCATCTGTGAATTCTCAAATACATGGCAGAAGTAGAAATATCACCTTAGTAAGAACCTAATAAAGTGCTGAGAAGCTTGAAATATTTCACTTTAAGGAACAGCATCAGTTGTGCATATCATGTATCGCACAGCCATGGAGGGCATCAATCTTACAAGACTTTTTTAGTCTTTTTAAGAAAAAGCATGGTTGTCAGTCAAGCACCTTATGATCCACTCTGAACCCCATTTTTTTCCTTTTGTACATGTGACTAACCAATAATTACCTATTTTATGTCTTGACAACTTTAGTATATAAACTCACATTTAATATAGTGAACACCATTTTGACTAGATTAAACCAAGTTATCGTGAATTCTGCCATTTTTTTTCCTTAATTTATTTTTTAAAGCTTAGAGGAGCTTCTTAATATTTTTTTTTTAGTTGTAGTTGGTCACAATACCTTTATTTTATTTTATTTTTTTTAATGTGGTGCTGAGGATCAAACCCAGCGCCTCCCACGTGCTAGGCAAGCACTCTACCACTGAACCATAATCCCAGCCCTCTTAATTTATTTTTAGTTGTAGATGGACACAATACCTTTATTTAATTTATTTTTTTACATGGTGCTGAGGTTTGAACTCAGTGCCTCACACATGCTAGGCAAGCACTCAACCATTCAGCCCTAACCTCAACCCTCTGCCAGTCATTTTAAATCTTTACTGTGAAATACTAGTTCTTCCCAGTTTATATAACTATATTAATTGTCTGCTACATAATAATTTACCCCCCCCCCAAATTAGTGGCTTAAAACAACTAGCCAGACATAGTGGTACACACCTTAATCCCAGTGATTTGCAAGGCCAAGAGAAAAGGACTACAAATTCAAGGCCAGACTCAGCAACTTGGCAAGATCCTATCTTAAATAAAAAGGGCTGAGAATGTAGCTCAGTAGTAGAGCACCCCTGGTTTCAATCTCCAGTACCACAAAACAAAACAAAAATTAACTGTTTTTTGTCTTACAGTTTTCATATGTCAAGAGCTTAAAATCAGCTTAACTAGGTAGTTCTTCAGGTCTCTGGAAACTAGGTGTTAGCTGGAGTTCCCTCATCTGAAGGCTTGGCTAGAGCTGAAGGGCCTGTGTTAAGTCTCTCAAATGTGGCCAATGACAGGAGGCCTTAGTTCCTCACTGAATGTGCCTCTCTATGGGGAAGCTTAAGTATCCTCACATGACAGCTGGCTTCTTCCAGAACAAGTACTGCAAGAAAGAGCAAAGCCAGGCGCAGTAGTGCATACCTGTAATCCCAATAGCTCCAGAGGCTGAGGCAAGAGTATTGAGAGTCCAAAGCCAGCCTTAGCAACTTAACGAGGCCTTAAGCAGCTCAGCGAGACTCTTTCTCTAATAAAATATTTTAAAATGGGGGGCTAGGGATGTGGTTCAGTGGTAGAGCACCCCTGGGTTCAATCTGCAGTACAAAAAAAAAAAAAAGCAAGAGAAGCCTAGTCTCTTGAATCCTGACACTGTCACTTTTACCACATTCTATTTGCATTCTAATTATAGCTGGTACCCAAGGGGAGCAGAATTAGAAGAAGGGAATATCAAAGAAATTGTGGACATATTTTAAACCAGCTAACAGATCACTGAAGAAAACCATCTGCCATTATCTTACCATTTTTAGAATTTTGGGTTATTTCCTCCCATTTTTTCCCCTTCCATTTTTTTTTCCTTTTTACGTAGTTGTATCCATCATTTTTATATTTTGCTTTTTTTCACTTTGTAGTATTCTCTGGCATTAATGAAAAGGATGCCCCACCCCAAGCCAACCTCTAGGGAATGCTGGTGCTTGAATTCTCTTCCTTCCTCTCAGTACTTTTTTTTTTTTTTAGAGAGGGAGTGGGAATGGGGTGTTTGATATTTAACTCAGGACCTCATGCATACTAAACATAAACTCTACCACTGAGTTGAACTAAGTTGTTGCTTTTTTTTTTCTTCTCTTTAATTGAACCTAGAGTGCTCTACCACTAAGTCACATCCCTATCCCTTTATGTTTTGCTTGTTTTGAGACAGGGTTTCACTAAGTTGCTGAGGCTTGAACTTGCAATGCTCCTGCTTCAGCCTCCCAAGTCATTGGATTACAGGAATGTGCCACTATATCTAACAATGAGCTGTTATACTCCAGTTCTCAGGCCTTTCTTTGATGGAAGTAGTAGAGGTGAGACAGAAGACTAATTAAAGATAGACTCTGACATACAAAGATTAGTGAGAAGATTTTTAAAACCATAAACTTTATTTATCAGATATTAGGAATAAGTGAGAGAATTCCAGGTAGCACTCAACCAAAAATCCCATGCTGTATAGATTTTGATTTTCATTATCCGCTCTCTTTGCAGCAACTATAGTTTCTCAACAGATGGCTTCAGTGGCTCAGGAGGCAGTGGTAGCCATGGTTCCTCTGTGGGTGTCCAGGGAGGTGTGGACTGGATGAGAAAACTGGCTTTCCGCTACCGAAAAGTGAGAGAAATTTATGATAAGCATAAAAGCAACGTGGGTGGTAAGTATGGCATACAATCAGTCTAATTCTGTTTCTTCCTGATTCCCTACTTTCCTTTCTAGGGATTCTTTAGATAACCCTGGCAACTGCTTATTAATTTATTCCACAGCAGTTTGTTAATTCTGTATTTTTAAAATGCGGATGTGGGCTGGGGTTGTGGCTCAGTGGTAGAGCGCTTGCCTCACACCTGCGAGACCCTGGGTTTGGTCCTCAGCACCACGTAAAAATATATGAATAAAATAAAGGTATTGTGTCCAAAAAAAAAAAAATGCGGATGTGATTAAAACCCTTTGGGGAAGAAGCTCTGCACTTCTAATGGACATTAGACTAAATAGTTAGAATAATAGAAAAAGCTCTGCATTTCTAATTTCTCTTGGCATAAATTTGGAAAGTTCTTTTTAGACAGATGACTTTTTGAAGGAAATGATTTACATAGATTATGTTTGATAACATGTTTTTGTTCTTGAGTCACAACCATTGTCAATATAGAAATAGGGTGCCAGATTTTGGAGGGCTAATTCTGTAACCATCAGGACAAGTTAAGTAGAACTAGTTACTATGTTTGTAGTGGCTGGAAAACTAGCTCTAGGATTATAGGTTAGCAATTTTAATGTGTTGTAATTTGAAAGACCTTAGAAATTATTTCTACCCGAAAAAAAAAATTTCAAATGTCATTCCTAAAAATCTGTTATTTGGAATTAATTAATCATACTTTATTCAAATTAGAAAGGAAATTAGAAATCTAATCTAAATATCTCATTTGGCAGTTGAGAAATTAACATTCATCATAGAGGTAGTTGGGGGAGGAAACAGCATATCTGTGATCACATAGCAACTTAGTGGCCTGGCCAAATCACATCCCCTGACTTTTGGTCCAGTGTAGTTCATGCCATTCCTTTTTTAGTGAGGTACCCTTTTTGAGAAAATATTTAAAGATGTGAACCATCCCCCACAAAAGTACACACATAAAAATGTTGCATGAAGTTTCAGGAATTACATAGACTGGAGGTATTATGTTAACTTTTCATCACTGTGACAAAACATCTGAGAAAATCAGCTTAAAAGAGGAAAGATTTTTTTGGCTCAGTTTCAGAGTTTCAATCCATAGTTGACTGGTTCCATTATTTCTGGGCTTGTGGTGAGGCAGTACATCATGACAGAAGATGAACAAGATGAACCTTGGGACAGCCAGGAAGCAGAGACAGAGGAAGGGGCCAGGGGCAAGACATAGCCCCCAAGGACACACACCCCAAAACCCACTCCCTTCAACAAGGTACCACCTCCCAGTTTCCACCACCTCCCAATGCATCATTTATATATAAATCCATCCATGGATTAATCTATTGATGATGGTCAGAGCCATAGTGATCCAGTAACTTCCCAACAGCCCCACTTTTTTTTTTTTTTTAATACCTGTGATTGAACCCAAGGACACTTAACCACTGAGCCACATTCTCATCCCTTATTTTATTTAGAGACAGGGTATCACTAAGTTGCTTAGGATCTCATTGAGTTGCTGAGGCTATCTTTGAACTTGTGATCCTCCTGATTCAGCCTCCCAAACTGCTGAGCTTACAGGCATGTGCCACTGTGCCTGGCACAGCCCTACTTCTAACAGTGCTGCACTGGGGACCAAGCCTTCAGCACATGAGCTTTTGGAGGACATTCCAAATTAAAACCACAATAGGTATATTCTTCTAGTCAAGATCTTAGTACTATATTATGTTGCATTACAGAATGGTAAAAGTAGAGACAGAGCTTTAAAGTTCATTTTGGTTTATTCCTGTTAAACCCCTCTTAATTCTACATAAAAATTATGGGCTTCCAGATTTTAGAAATCTAATTTCCTTTCTTCAGATTTCCCTTTTTATTATATCTTCTTATGATACAGCCAATACTTTATATTTTGGCAACTTCAAGTCTTTTTACTTTTCTTCTTCATGCATTAGCCTTTGTTTTGTTGGATTTCATTTGCAACTTAAGTCTATGATTCATTCCTTGCCTCAGTTCCTAGACTTAGTTTCATAAGTGAAGTGATGCAACCTTTTATCAGAGTTCCCTGAAACTTCTTTGGAAAACAGAAATGTATGGTTACAGGATAATTTAACAAAAGTGTCATATCATACCTTAGTTAAGTATGTGGTACTAGTTTTGTTGTTTGTTTTATCCAGAATGTTAAATGAGAGCATCATCTAATTCCAGGCTTGCATTGTGAAACCATCAATTTGAAAATAAATTATACTTCTGGTTCTCCTCACAAAATTTCTTCTGTTTTATGGAGTATTGTTAATAGAGCACAGTATTTTTTTTTTTAACTTTCACTACAGAAAATTCTGAGCCAGACTTGCTATTTAAATATTGTAACTCAGGTGTCTAATGACATGCTTCTGTTATATGAGTTCTGTTTTGTTTTAACTATGTAGTCTTAGGCAGTGTTTTAGTTTCTTATTAATCAGTTATTTCAGAAATGAGTAAAGTACAGAAAAATGGTTATTCAACCTGAAGTCTTTTAACTATCATGTTCTGAGGCACATGGAATTGAAGTCACCATAGGGTTGTGGTGGTGGAAAGACTGCCTGAGACCATAAGCTCTTAAATTACTGTGTAATCTTTGCCCATCATGCTTTGATTTCTTTAGAAAGAGATTAGAAATGCTGAAAACTCTTCCAGCTATAATACTTATTTCTCCTTCTTTGGTTCCTTATATCCTGTTCTGAAACAGTGCTACTTAAGTGTAGTTTTTCATTCTGCATATTTATAGAGTTGGTGATGAAAGAAGGAGCTTGTATCAGAATCTAATTGTGCTGTTTCTGCCAGCTGATCTTGTTATTGTGCTCCCTAGCAAAAATTTTGATGAAGAAAGTCAAAGTGGCATTTTGAATAGCACTACTCTAAAATTGCCCCAAGAAGAGAAATATTAGTTCAGGGCCTCACACTATTTCTTTTTTCTTTCTTCCTTTTTTTTTTTTTATTTTTAATTTATTTGACACAATACCATTATTTTATTTATTTTTATGTGGTGCTTCATGTGTGCTAGGCAAGCGCTCTGCAACTGAACCACAATCCTAGCCCCACCTCAAACTATTTTTAAATTGAATTTGTAAGTTGCTTTTTCAGTATCAGCAAGTATATGATGTCAAATGATAAATTTGTCTACTTTTGTTTCCAAAGGCCTCCTCAGTCCCCAAAGAAAGGAAGCACTACAGAGATTAAGAGCAGAAATTGAAGTTTTAACTGATTCCTGGTTAGGAACTGCATTAAAGTCCTTACTTCTCATCCAGTCCAGGTATGGGAATGGTTCTTTTAGGTCTCATCCTCTCAGAGAGATGATCTCTCCTATCTTAGTCCCATATAACCCATTTCCTAAAATAAATATTAGAATAGGGGTGAGAAATATTTAAATGATTGAGGCAAGTACTTAGGTGGGCAGCAAGGTTATTTTATGATAACAGCACACTCTAGAATTTGTTGTTGTTTAAGAGTTTAATTTTTATTTTTTATTTGTTTTTTATGTGGTATCAAGAATTAAACCTGTGCTTCACCCTTGCTAAGCAAGCGCTCTACCTTTGAGCTACAACCCCAGCCCACACCCTAGAATTTTAAGAGAACATTTATATGTGAAATCCTTTTTTCTTTTCTTTTTTTTTTAAAGAGAGAGAGAAAGAGAGAATTTTAATATTTATTTTTTAATTTTCGGCAGACACAACATCTTTGTTTGTATGTGGTGCTGAGGATCAAACCCGGGCCGCACACATGACAGGCGAGCACGCTACCGCTTGAGCCACATCCCCAGCCCCCTTTTATTTTTTTTTTTAATATTTTATTTCTTTTTAGTTGTAGTTGGACACGATATCTTTATTTTGTTTATTTATTTTTATGTGTTGCTGAGGATCGAACCCAGGTCCTCACATGTGCTAGGTGAGTGCTCTACCGCTGAGCCACAATCCCAGCCCATAAATCCTTTTTCTTTTCCCTTGGTTTTTGCTTACAAACTAAAACTCACCTATAATCTCCACCCAGGAGATAAAAAAATCAAAGAATACAAGTAGGAGGCATATCACAGTTTCAGGAAATGTACCTAGGCCCACTAAAGAAGGAAAGATTCAAAAGAAAAAGAGTACATTAAGCATAATGAGGAGTTATCAGCTTGAGGCTTAAGACTAGGAAATAAATGCAGCCATATTTATACCTTCTCTCAAAGCAATAATTCCAAATCCACAGCCAAATAAACAGTAAAACTGACACTGAGGGGTTGATATCCAGTGAAGGTAAAGTACTCATGGAATTAATATGTATTCTGGAATCTGAGTAGCTGTTGTGTGAAGAGCAAAGAGAATTTAAATCATCTCATTTATGGACTAAATTATATTTAGATTAAATAGAACACTAAGTGAGACCTCTGTTGTAATTTGTAATGTATAATATCAGTGACTAAGTAAGCTACAGCATGGTCAGCAGGGAAATAAGTCATGAATGAAGTTGCTGCTCTTTGTTTACTGAAAGACAAAATAAACAAACAGTATCTCTGCCCTTTGATCTAGAAAATAAAACCTGAGCTGAGCACAGAGGTGCATGCCTATAATCCCAGCTACTCAGGAGGCTGAGGTAGGAGAATTGCAAGTTCAAGGGCAACCTCAGCAACATAGGGGGACTCATTCTCTAAAAATAAAAAGGGGGATGGGGCTGTAGCTCATTGGTAGAGTGCCCGCCTCACATGTGTGAGACACTGGGTTTGATCCTCAGCATCACATAAAAATAAATAAAGATATTGTGTCCAACTACAACAAATAAATAAATAAGGGCTAGGGTGTAGCTTAGTGGTAAAGCACTCCTGAATTTAGTCCCCACTACCAAAAGAAAAGAAAACTGAAG